CCTTTTCAATTTCAATTTTTTTTTTTTTTTGAGACAGAGTCTCACTCTGTCACCCAGATTGGAGTGCAGTGGCCCGATCTTGGCTCACTGCAACCTCTGCCTCCTGGGTTCAAGCAATTCTCGTGCCTCAGCCTCCCGAGTAGCTGGGACCACAGGTGTGCAACACCACACCTGGGTAATTTTTGTATTCTAGTAGAGATGGGGTTTCACCGTGTTGTCCAGACTGGTCTCAAACTCCTGGCCTCAAGTGATCCTCCTCTCTCGGTCTCCCAAAGTGCTGGTATTACAGGGATGAGCTACCACGCCTGGCCCTTAATTTTAATTTTGTAACCTTTCATTGCAACCCCACGGTCTTTGATATTGCCCATACTATGCAGCCTACAGCAAGATGCCCCAGGCTCAGTTTGTACATTTTCTGTCCCCAAGCCAGAATCAGCCATTTACCTAAGGTGCCTGGATTTGTTTATATTTATTTATTATATATGTATAATACATATGTGATACGATAATATCATATCTCTATTTCCAGTTCAAAATTAGGATTATAGGCTGGGCACAGTGGCTCACGCCTGTAATCCCAGCACTTTGGGAGGTCAAGGCGGGTGGATCACGAAGTCAGGATATCGAGACCAACCATGCCAACATGGTGAAACCCCATTTCTACTAAATACAAAAAGTTAGCTGGGCGTGGTTGTGCCTTCCTGTAGTCTCAGCTCTGTGGGAGGCTGAGGCAGGGGAATCACTTGAACCTGGGAGGCAGAGATTGCAGTGAGCCAAGATTGCACCACTGCACTCCAGCCTGGGCGACAGAGCAAGACTCTGTCTCAAAAAAAAAAAATTAGGATTATAAATGTTTTACATAGCAAATTCGATTTTATATTTATGTTTTTCCTCAATGATGAAAATCTGGGTTCCTAACAGTATTAACATAATTACTTTATTCTAAATATGTGCTAATACACAATGATACCAATATTACTAACAACATCATTAGGAAGGATAGTTTAGGATTTCTGTTTATCCCACGAGGAGTGTGTAATTAAATTATCATGTCTTAAAGTCATGTTAAAAAAAGTCTGTGTGGTTAAGCTGCTGACTTGATACCCATCTTTCCTTGTCTTAGTTTTCTTTTGGCTTTTAGAGTTAAGAACCTTTTTCAGGGTTAAATGCAAAAGGATGAGGTAAAAAGCAGCAGCCAGGTGTGGCGGCTCACGCCTGTAATCCCAGCACTTGAGAGGCTGAGGCTGGCGGATCACAAGTTCAGGAGATTAAGACCATCTTGGCTAACACGGTGAAACCCCATCTCTACTAAAAACACAAAAACGTAGCCGGGCTTAGTGGCAAGTGCCTGTTGTCCCAGATACTCAGGAGGCTGAGGCAGGAGAATCGCTTGAACCCGGGAGGCAGAGATTGCGCCACTGCACTCCAGCCTGGGTGACAGAGCAAGACTCTGTCTCCAAAAATAAATAAAATTTAAAGAAAAGCACTTCATGGGTTTCTGTCAGAATTAAATGACAATGGCATGCACAAAACACTGGAAACAGGGTCTGCCAGAGTGGAAAGTGCTGCTATTGCGATTGCTTTCCTGTAGCAAAGCCATGTTTCCTCCCACTCAGAGGATGCTATTGGTTAAATTGCCAGGACCTGCCTCTGGCCCCAGACTCAGGGTTAGCTACTGGCCTCAGAGTCCTGATTGTCTAATTTGGACTTTTAATTTAGCTTGATTATCTAATTTAGCATTTTAGTCTCTCTCTTTCTCAGGTTCCTTACATGCCACACAGTGATAAATGATAATACCTCACAGATCTTCTGTGAAGATAAGAGGGGATAATTCATGTATGTAAAGTGCTCAGGACAATGATTAGAGACAAATGCATCCCTCATATACGGTAACCATAGAAACAGCTTCCATTTATCAAGCACATCAGTTCATGCCAGGTATGCGGTACGTGCTTTCTGTGAACTAACCCATTTAATAATCATAACAACCTTGAAAGGTGGGTGCCATGATTAGTTCATCCCCATTTTAGGAAATTCATTTGAGAAAACTGAGGTGTGCAAAGGGCAAATTTCTCAAAGCCACATACCTAAAAATTAGTAGGAAGGCTGGGTGCGGTGGCTCCTGCCTGTAATCCCAGCACTTTTGGAGGCTGAGGTGGGCAGATCAACTGAGGTCAGAAGTTCAAGACCAGCCTGGAGAACATGGTGAAACTCCATCTCTACAAAAAAAAAATAAGAAAATTAGTGGGGCGTGGTGACACGTGCCTGCAATCCCAGCTACTTGAGAGGCTGAGGCACGAGAATCAGTTGAACCCAGGAGGTAGAGGTTGTAGTGAGCCGAGATTGCAACCACTGCACTCCAGCCTGGGTGACAGAGCAACACTCCATCTCAATCAATCAATCAATCAATACAAAGTAGCAGGGAAAAAAGCAATAAGTTGCTTGGTTCCAGAAGCCAGGTGTGAAAGAGGATTAAAAATACATACCTCATTTGATTTTTGTGAGAGCTTCAGGAAATTGTGTGTGTGTAGTGTGCCTGGCATATACTAAGTAGCCAATAACCATTACATTTCTTTCCTTCTTCCCTCCCTTGCTTCCACCAGGTAAGCTGTTTGGGGAACTTGAGCTATTGAGAAGATGGCAACCAAGCCAAGAGCGCCCGTCACGATCCTCAGCCTTCGGAAGTTGAGCCTGGGGACTGCAGAGACACAGATTAAAGGTGAGATTATCACAGAAGTCTCCAGCTCAACCTGCTGCTTCACTTCTTACCACTGGCCCCTTGTATTAACTTTTTATAATAATGGGTTGGTGGCTTGGCGCGGTGGCTCACACCTGTAATCCCAGCACTTTGGAAGGCTAAGGCAGGTGGATCACCTGTCAGGAGTTCAGGATCAGTCTGGCCAAGATGGTGAAACCCCGTCTCTACTAAAAATACAAAAATTAGCCGGGCGTGGTGGCGGGTGCCCAGCTACTCAGGAGGCTGAGGCAGAAAATTGCTTGAACCTGGGAGGCAGAGGTTGCAGTGAGCCGAGATCCCACCACTGTACTTCAGCCTGGGTGACAGAGCAAGACTCAATCTCAAAATAATAATAATAATAATAATAATAATAATGGGTTGGCTTTCTGAAACTAAGCGATAGTCGCAATGCATTCCCTTCCCTGCAGAAGCTATTTCTTCTACTTGCCTTTCGTTGTTAGAGCCAAAGATGTTCACCGTGGAAGACGCAGTGGAGACCATTGGCTTCGGACGTTTCCACATTGCTCTCTTTCTGATCATGGGCAGCACTGGGGTGAGTACTCCTTGCAGATGTGGACAAAAAGAGTCAAACTCTGTAAAATAATTGAAGAGAGTTGTTCTGAGCCAAATATGAGTGATCATGGCCTGTGACATGGCCCTTAAGAGGTCCTGAGAACATGTGCCCACGGTGGATGGGTGCAGTTTAGGGAGGCAGGAGACATCAATCAAATACATTTAAGAAATGCATTGGTTTAATCTAGAAAGGCAGGACAATTCTAATTCAAAACAGCTGAGTGGGAAGAGGGAAGCTTCCAGGCTATCGGTAAATTTAAATATTTTCTGGTTGACAATTGGTTGAGTTTGTCTAAAGACCTGGGATCGATAGAAAGGAAATGTTTGGGTTAAGATAAAAGATTGTGGCCGCACGTGGTGGCTCATGCCTGTAATCCCAGCACTTAGGGAGGCCGAGGTGGGTGGATCACCTGAGGTCAGGAGTTTGAGACCAGCCTGGCCATCATGATAAAACCCTGTTTTGTTTTGTTTTAGACTGAGTCCCACTCTTGTCACCCAGGATGGAGGGCAATGTCATGATCTCAGCTCACTGCAACCTCTGTCTCCTGCATTCAAGCAATTCTCCTGCCCCAGCCTCCCGAGCAGCTGGGATTACAGGTGCCTGCCACCACGCTCGGCTACTTTTTTTTCTTTTTTCTTTTGTATTTTTAGTAGAGTTGGGGTTTCACCAGGTTGGCCAAGCTGGTCTGGAACTCCTGATGTCGTGATCCAACCATCTTGGCCTCCCAAAGTGCTGAGATTACAGGCGTGAGCCACTGCACCCAGCTGAAACTCTGTCTTTACTAAAAAATACAAAAATTAGCTGGGCATGGTGGCGGGCACCTGTAATCCCAGCTACTCAGGAGGCTGAAGCAGGAGAATCGCTTGAACTCAGGAGGCAGAGGTTGCAGTGAGCTGAGATTGCACCACTGCACTCCAGCCTGAATAACAGAGAGAGACTGTGTCTCAAAAAAAAAAAATAATCAAATAAAATAAAGATTGTGGAGACCAAGGTTCTTTTGAAGTCTTATAGTGGCTGCCCTTAGGGACAATAGATGGCAATTATTTCCTATTCAGACTTTTAAAAGGTGCCAGACTTTTAGTTAATCTCTTCAGGATTGCGAGGGCCTGGAAGAAAATGATCTAGCTATGTTAATAAAGATTCTTTACAGATGCGCATTTTCCCCCACAAAGAACAGCTTTGCGGGGCCATTTCAAAATATGGCAAAGAGATACGTCTTGGGGTAAAATATTTGACTTAATTTCTTTTTCACATAATGTTATGCCTGAGTCAGATCAGAAAGTAAGTCACGATATTTAGAGTTAATAAAACCCATCTGATGAGAATGTGTGGGTTGTAGGGCATGACTCCCCAGGCCCCTTAGACAGGAATTTGAGCAAGATAAAAACAATCAGAGCTGTCCTCAGAGATGACGTGAGCCTTCAAAACTAACAGGCTTGAACGCAGAGTCTCTCTTCTGCTGACCTCTGGCTCTGGGCTCTCCAGTCCGGGGATGTGGGAGGAAGGGTGGGTAGAGATGAGAAAAAGCAGGAACCCCAACAGGTGGGTCATCCAAAAATCACTTTCCTTCACCTTTGGCAGGTGTCGTATAAGCAAGTGAGCATTTGTATCTATGTTTTGGGAATTCAATACTCATTTTAAAAATGATATAAATGGAGGTACTGGGAAGAAAGGAGAAAACTGGTATTATTTTATGTAAAATCAAACACATGGCTCTCAAACATTTTGTGTGGAAGAATCACCAGAGACACCTGCTGTAATTACACATTTTCAGATCCTTTCAGAGGCACTGACGAAGGTTTGTTATTTACCATTAGGGTTTGAATGTGTCCCTTCCAAAACCCAGGTGATGTCAATGAGATTGTTAAGAGGTGGGGCCTTTAAGAGGTGATGAGACCACGTGGACTCCTCCCTCGTGAATGGGATCAAGGCCCTTATAAAAGAGGCTTCGCGCAACAGCAGTGTCAGCTTCTTTGTGTTTCTCTCCCGCGACCTCAGTCATTCCTCTGCTGCGGAGGGAGCATCCCTCTCCGGGCAGTGGAACCTGCTGGCACTTTGATCTCGGCTCCCAGCCTGCAGAACTGTGAGAAAATACATTTAGATTCCTTATAAATTGCCCGGTCTCGGGCATTTTGTGATAGCAGCACAAATGACTAAGATATAGGCATGTGCAATTTTGAGGAAAGAAGAATGACAGCTTTACCCAGAGGTTTTCACAGCAGTGGTGATGTCTGAGAGCCCAGGCCACTACTCCCGCTTCCTCCTTTAGGAGATAAGGTGAGAAAATGTTAAGAACCAGGTGTGGTGGCTCATGCCTGTAATCCCAGCACTTTGGGAGGCCAAGGTGGGCAAATCACTTGAGGTCAGGAGTTGGAGACCAGCCTGGCCAACATGGTGAAACCCCTGCTCTCCTAAAAATACAAAATTCAGCCAGGTGGTGGCACGCACCTGTAATCCCAGCTACTTGGGAGGCTGAGGCAGGAGAATTGCTTGAACCTGGGAGGCAGAGGTTGCAGTGAGCTGAGATCATGCCACCGCTCTCCAGCCTGGGTGACAGAGCAAGACTCCATCTGGGGGTGGAACAGCGGGAACAAAACAAAATTTCTTGCCCAGATACATAATGACAATCAGACGGAATGGCAAATCAAAGACAGGGGGTCAGCCCAACAATGGTGTTGGACTGGAGGGTAAAAATGCAAAGGAGGGAGATAAGTGAGAAAATGCTAGAGAGCTCTGACCCTTCCGAAGCAGGTAAAGGTTACAAGAAAGGGTTGTGTGGGCCTGGCGTGGTGGTTCACGCCTCTAATCTCAGCACTTTGGGAGGCCGAGGCAGGCAGATAACCTGAAGTCAGGAGTTCGAGACCATTTGACCAACATGGGGAAACCTCATCTCTACTAAAAATACAAAAAAAAATCAGCCAGGTGTGGTGGCGTGTGCTTGTAATCCCAGCTTCTTGGGAGGCAGAGACTGGAGAATTGCTTGAACCTGGGAGGTGAGGTTGCAGCGAGCTGAGATTGTGCCACTATACTCCAGGCTGGGTGACAGAGAAAGACTGTCTCAAAAAACAGAAAAAAGGTGGTGGGGGGTCATGTGATCTGGAGGTAGCCATGTGAATTTGACTCATCTTTCAGAAGTATTGCGTTCTCAGGCAACAGTCTATTTCTTTTCCTTTTTTTTTTTTTTTTAAGATGGGGTCTAGCTGTGTTGCCCAGGCTGGAGTGCAGTAGTGTGATCTCAGCTCACTGCAATCTCCACCTCCCAGGCTCAAGCGATTCTCCTTCCTCCTTCCTGTAGCTGGGATTACAGGTGTGTGCCACCACAACTGGCTAATTTTCATATTTTTAGTAGAGACAGGTTTTCACCATGTTGGCCAGGCTGGTCTTGAACTCCTGACTCCAAGTGGTCCGTCCTCCTCCGCCTCCCAAAGTGCTGGGATTACAGGCGTGAACCACCTCGCCTGGCCAGTACTGGTTGCTTTTAAGACCTTCTCTGAGGTCGAGATTGAAGCTCCTCTGCACTCCACCCTGGTTCCCTGCCTGGTCCATTTCCCCTAAGGCTACTATAGCAGAATGGGGCAGAGTTTTACTCCGTATTAGTTTATTTCCTTCTAGAATCCTTTAGAGAAGTGGCATCCTGATTAATATGGATCCAGCTGTTCTGTATTACTGAAGGAAGATGAGTTTACTAAATCAAACATTCTTCTGAGATTATTAGCCTTATTTTTATACAGGGTCTTGCTCTGTCACCCAGGCTGGAGTGCAGTGGTACAAGCTCAGCTCACTGCAACCTCCACCTCCTAGGTACAAGTGATTGTCACCCTCTCGAGTAGGTGTTCGTCACCACGCCCTTCTAATTTTTGTATTTTTAGTAGCGATGGGCTTTCACCATGTTAGCCAGGCTGGTCTTGAACTCCTGGCCTCAAGTGATCAGCCCACCTCAGCTTTCCAAAGTGCTAAGATTAGACATGAGCCACCAGGCCAGACTCTTCTGAGATAATTATATTCTCTTACTTCCGACACTTTTTGAACTGAAACTTGCCGGCTGGCCATCTGAACTCTGGACATGACTATAACGCTCTCCGTGGAGAGACAGTCACTCTAATATGTGTACTTCAAAGTCCCATACACTAGAGCTGACATAATTCCCCCTTTTTCATCCCAGATCCCCAAGTTATATAAGTATAAACATTATTATAATAACCCATGCAGATATCCTATCAATGTTATCAACAAAACGTGTCCCAAACAAATTCCTTTTCTCCTTTAGTTTCCTTTTCCTCCTCCTGATAACCTTGTTCCTGTCACTGGTGTCCGTTTTCTTCCCTTCCACCAGGCACAAAAGCTCTGTTGTCATTCGTGATCCTGTACCTAACTTTCATAGTCTGTTTCTAATTATTCCTTCAATTCTTTTCTAGCATCTCCTTCCTTTGAGAGACAAACCTATCCTATAGCAGATTGCAAGATATGGATTGAGGATGATACTCTAACTTTGTATTGAAAGAAAGATTTAGTAGCACATGCTACACTGTTTGCTAAATAGACATTTTCGTGGGCTGAGCTCAGTGGCTTATACCTGTAATCCCAGCACACTGGGAGGCCAAAGTGGAAGGATCACTTGAGCCTAGGAGTTTGAGACCAGCCTGGGCAACATAGTGAGGTCCTGTCTTTTATTTTTTTAAAGACACTTTCCTGCTGATGAACTCATACTATTTTGTGCGCATTGCTTTATTTTCTAGCTTTCATGAATCTTACTGTCCCAGCTTCTTGATCAGAGACTTTCTCAAAAATCCTATTTTTTTTTTTTTTTAAAAGATGGGGTTTCACCATGTTGGTCAGGCTGGTCTTGAACTCCCAACCTCAGGTGATCTGCCTGCCTTGGCCTCCAAAGTGCTTGGATTACAGGCGTGAGTCACCATGCCCTGCCTCAAAAGTCCATTTGTAAGATACATGCCCTGCAACCGTCAGGAACATGAGTACAAAACAACAAAGTTAGATGCTGCTGCCTCCGGTTAGCTGGTTTCACCCCTTAGCAGTGGGAGTGGCCTTCACATAGCTCCCTCATAGGGCTACCATGCAAATGCATTGCTCAGCAAAATCATCAGTGAATACATGTCACAAATCTTTGGGAACTCTCAAATTGTTCAAACCGTAAAGGTCACATCCATGACAGCTGAAGTTCTATAGTTCCTTATCCAACTAGCAGCGCTGTGTGGGTACACAATAGGTGCTCTCTAAGTGGGGAAGGCCGAAGGGGATAGGACTAGGTAGGATGACGAACAGGCAGGCCTGGGATGAAGTGATGACAAGCCGGTGCTTAGACATGGCATTGTGTCCCTCCTCTTTAAGGTGGTTGAGGCCATGGAGATCATGTTGATAGCTGTTGTGTCTCCTGTCATCCGCTGTGAGTGGCAACTGGAGAACTGGCAGGTGGCATTAGTAACCACGGTAAGTACCTGCCTCCTGTGCTTTTGGGTTCTTGAGGGCCTAGGCTTCCTTTCCTCCATCCTAAAGGCTGAGAGCCAAAGGGTATCACAACCCTTGATATGTTGGCTTCCAAAACAAGGGTTTGCAGGCTGAACCCCTCATTCAATGTCTTCCTCGCCTTGTTTTCTTTTTCTAGTGTGTGTAAACTTGAACTCCTTACTATCCAGATGAGAGATGCAAATCAGAAAGTGATCCCTAAGTCATGGGTTAGTCACAGGTTAAATCGGATCACTCCTTCAACTTTCCTCAAAGACCATGAAGAGTAGCCTTACGGGCCAGGCGTGGTGGCTTATGCTTGTAAACTTGTAATCCCAGCACTTTGGGAGGCTGAGGCAGACGGGTCACAAGGTTAGGAGATCAAGACCATCTTGGCTAAGATGGTGAAACCCGTCTCTACTAAAAGTACAAGAAATTAGCTGGGCATGGTGGCACATGCCTGTAGTCAGATACTCGGGAGGCTGAGGCAGAATTGCTTGAACCCAGGAGGCAGAGGTTGTGATGAGCCGACATCATGCCATTGCACTCCAGCCTGGGCGACAGAGTGAGACTCTGTCTCAAAAAAAAAAAAAAGAGAAAAAAAGAATAGCCTTATGGGCTTGGTATGGTGGCTCATGCCTGTAATCCAGCATTTTGGGAGGCTGAGGCCGGCAGATCACCTGAGGTCAGGAGTTTGAGACCAGCCTGACCAACTTGATGAAACCCCATCTCTATTAAAAATGCAAAAATTAGCTGGGCATGGTGGTGGGCACCTGTAATCCCTGCCACTTGGAAGACTGAGACAGGAGAATTGCTTGCACCTGGGAGAAGGAGGTTGCAGTGAGGCGAGATCATGCCGTTGGACTCCAGCCTGGGTGACGAGTGAAACTCATCTGAAAAAAGAAAAAACAGTAGCCTTATAAGTTGCACATCGGGTTTTGCTAGAAAATGGAATTGAAGGCCAGGCACGGTGGGTGGCTCATGCCTGTAATCTCAGCACTTTGGGAGGCTGAGCTGGGCAGATCACGAGATCAGGTGATCTAGACCATCCTGGTTAACAGGGTGAAACCCTGTCTCTACTAAAAATACAAAAAAAAAAAAAAAAAAAGGCATGGTGGCACGCACCTGTAGTCCTAAGCTACTCAGGAGGCTGAGGCAGGAGAATTGCTTGAACCCAGGAGGCAGAGGTTGTGATGAGCCGAGATCATGCCACTGCATTCCAACCTGGGCAACAGAGCCAGACTGTTTAAAAAAAAAAAAAAATGGAATTGAAGATATGTATCATTCTTTCAGAAAGCATTTATTAAGTACCAGTTAAGTGCCAGTGGACACTGTATGCATGACTGCTGGGACAACTACAAGCAATATCACATTGTTTAAATAGTCAGAGGCAGTGCTGAGAGGTGAACCTGCAGAGATGAGCAGGGCCAGAAACACCCCACCTGCTGAGCGTAAATTCCATTCTATAGCCACTGCTCCCCAACATTGGGCCAAACACATATAAGCCTTCCATCCAAAATATGTGACACAAGGCTGGGAGCAGTGGCCCACAGCTGTAATCCCAGCACTTTGGGAGGCCAATGTGGGCGGATCACTTGAGGTTGGAAGTTCAAGACCAGCCTGACCAACATGGAGAAGCCCCATCTCTACTAAAAGTATAAAATTAGCCAGACATGGTGGCACATGCCTGTAGTTCCAGCTACTCGGGAGGCTGAGGCAGGAGCATAGATTGAACCCTGGAGGAGGCAGAGGTTGTGGTGAACCGAGATCGTACCACACTCTAGCCTGGGCAACAAGAGCGAAACGCCATCTGAAAGCAAACAAACAAAAATGTGATACAAATACATATGACAGTTTTTCAGATGGCCATTTTTTTGTAATGAAAATCAATATAATAGCAATACTGACTTTATAGTCATATATTTCTAATTAGATGGATATGAAAGTACACCTTCTATCACAGAGTTTTGCAAAATCTATTTTTAATATTAAAAGAGGCTCCTGATGTGTAAGCATGTTGGAAGCCGCACTGGAGGGTGGGAATGTAATATTGGGGTACAGGGGTTCAGGGTGCCCTCAGCTCCCCTGAGAGGACGTTTTTCCAGGTTCTTTGTCTCCTGCCCTCTCAAGAATGAGAGAGGGGACCACGGCGCAGTGAGCAGTAAATGCCGGTATCAAAAATGTTTGTAGAAAGTGATTTATTTAAAGAGAGGGAAACAGGAGAAGGAGAGAGAAAGGAACAGCTAACTCTCACAGGGAGTGAGAGACTCCAGAAAGATGGAATCCAGGAGAGGAAAGCAGCCTCCACACTAAGTGGAAGGGAACAGAGAGAGATGGAGTTTAGGAGGGGAAGACAGACTCCAGAGGGAAAATCCAGGGTAGAGAAAAACAGCTTCCATGAGAGTGTGCGTGGAAGGGAATCCAAACATGGAGTCTGAAGGGGTGTGGAAGAAGAGGACTTTTAACCTGGGAGGAACCCCACTTTCTCTCAGACCCGTGGCCAATGAAAGGAGTTCCTTAGAACTTCTGCTGGAGTGATTGTTAGTTTCTTCCCACCCCCGCTAAATTTAAACAAACTTAGATCTCCTGGACGGAGACAGATGGGAGGGGGGACAGATGGGAGGGGGGACAGATGGGAGGGGGGACAGATGGGAGGGGGGACAGATGGGAGGGGGGACAGATGGGAGGGGGGACAGATGGCACAGGGAAGTTCTTGCCCTAGAAACTATGCCCCCCTGTGGACCCGGTAAGAGAATACATTCCCTCAGGACGCCATGAAGGCTTTAAGGAAGGATGCGGTCAGTTTTCTAAGAACTCCAAGGAGATGAAGCTGCGGGGTAGAAGGCCAGTGAGGGTATAACTGCAGTCGGCTTCGTCTTTCCCGGTGCACAGATAGAGACAACTTCTCAAGCCAGGGAACTGCAATAAAGTGTTTCATACACATAGGGCTGGCTAAACCAGAGGCCAGAGTTTTATTACTACTTATGTCAGCCTTCCTGAAAAGTTGGAGACAAGGGTTTTTTAAAGATAGTCTGGTGGGCAGGAGGCTAGGGAATGGCTATTGCTGACTGGTTGGGAATGCAATCATAGCAGTGCTGGGATTATAGGCTTGAGCCACTGCGCCCGGCCATCCTGGTCAACATGGTGAAACCCCATCTCTACTAAAAATACAAAAAATTAGCTGGGCATGGTGCCTGTAATCCCAGCTACTCAGGAGGTTGAGGCAGGAGAATTGCCTGAACCCAGGAGGCGGTGAGCCGAGATGGCGCCATTGCACTCCAGCCTGGGTAACAAGAGCGAAACTCCGTCTCAAAAAAGAAAAGAAAAGAAAAGAAAATGGATCTTGTATGCTGAGTCTGCTTTTGGGGAGGGGGATACAGGGCCAGTTGAGTCAGGAAGTCATGGGTCCAGGTGGAGTCATCCTGTCATTAAAAACGCAAAAGTCTGAAAAGATGTCTCAAGAGGCCAATCTTAGGTTCTACAATAGTGATATTGTAGTGATATTTTACAGGAGTAATTGGGGAAGTTGCAAATCTTGTGACTTTCAGAATGAAGGTTGTAAAGGGGCTGGTAATCTTTTAACTAAGCCTGCATCTTAACAGAATTCAGGCCCCTCTCATAATCCTAAGCTAGTGGCCTTTTATTACTTCTATAAAGATGTTTTAGTTTTGGGAAGAGCTATTATCATCTAAACTATTTCTTCCAAAGTTAGTTTGGCCCATGCCCAGGAATGACCAAGGACAGTTTGGAAGTTAAAGGCTAAAATAATTTGTTTAGGTCAGATCTCGTTCACTGTCACAATTGCTCACTGTTAGAAGTTTTGCAAAGATTTGCAACCAGCAGGTGAGGAGAGAAAGGTTGATTTATTTGGGTATTGAAGCTGGTTTTAATGAAGACAGGACTTTGTAGGTGCCAAGGGAAGACTTCTCTTCACCTTCCAAAGGTTCCTTAAAAAATCAATGGACAGAAGGTAGATTCATGGGAACAAGGCATACAAAATTTTATTTTGATGGGCATAGCAGGGAGGAATCACAAGAGTGATCACCAATAACACAGTGCGATACAGGAACATATACAGCCTTTTTCACAGGGGAGGAGGATGGTGGGCAGAGATTCTTCAGAGGGGCAGTAAGTCATTAGGGAGAATGGATGGACCAGGGAGGTGAGGGGTGGAGTTGCAGAGGAACAAAGGTTGTTATGCAGATGAATCCTCCAAGTGATCTCTGGGAGCTGCCCTCAGATGACCAGGTAGGAAGTCTGGGGCAAGGTAATACCCCCAGCCCCTTCTCTTTTTTGGTAGCTGATCTTTCTTGGTAATTTGACATGATCCTTAGGGAGTGGGTTTAGGACAATTGCTTTTCTGTTTGTTTTTGGAAACAGAGTCTCCCTCTGTTGCCCAGGTTAGAATGCGGTGACGCGATCACAGCTCATCACAGCTTTGAACTCCTGGGTTTAAAGAATCCTCTCACCTGCCCGGCATAGTGGCTTACAGCTGTTATCCCAGCACTATGGGAGGCCGAGGTAGGCAGATCACCTGAGGTGGGGAGTTCGAGACCCGCCTTACCAACATGGAGAAATCTAAAACTATACAAATTAGCGGGGTGTGGTGGCACATGCCTATAATCCCAGCTGCTCAGCAGGCTGAGAACCTGGGAGGCAGAGGTCGAGGTGAGCTGAGATAGTGCCATTGCACTCCAGCCTGGGCAACAAGAGCAAAACTCCATCTCAAAAAATAATATAAATAAATAAATAGATAGATAGATAATCCTCAACCTCCTGAGTAGCTGGGACGTGGGTCACCACACCTGGCTAATTTGAAGAGGCTGGTCTCTAACTCCTGGCCTCAAGGGATCCTCCTGCCTAGGCCTCTCAAAGTGTTGGAATTACAAACTGAGTCACTGCCCCTGGCCCAGTTGCATTCCTTTTGGAACAAAGCTTCCTTGACCAGATAAGGAAATTGCCAAGAGGGTCTTCCCTGGGCCTGAGGGCGAAGGAGTGAGACAAGGTTAGAGGGCGATGATTCTGTGCAGCTGCCTCTATCCTCTCTGCATGTCAAGGTACCAGTCATTGTTGTATCGCTTTCTGAGCCCCAACAACTTAATAGAAAGAACCAGGAGCCCAGGTGCTCAAATCCTCACCAAAGGGAGTGTCCGGGAGGTAAATAGACCATGGTGGGTGGAGGATAGCAGTCAGGTGGCAGAGGCCTTGAGGACAAATTCTGTAAGATAGAGTCTGAAACTGGTGGTGGAGAATTCCAGAAGAATTCCTCCTGCCCCCTAAACTTACAAGGCTGTGAGGAAAGGAGTAGCCCCCGAAGGTGGCAGGGTAAGGGGATTCCCTGTCACTCCCTGCCTTAAATCTTACCTGTGAATTTTAATCTTTAGGGGGTACCAGGGAAAATTCCCCCTCACTGGAGGAACTGGTTAGTTCTCTCAGATAATGGATGGTATTGCCCAATTGTGTTTTTCTGTGTTTTGGAGGCTAGGCAGTTTGGATTCCAGTTGTATGCCCAATCATAGCAGCACATCTAAAAATCTGCCCTTATTTTTATTAACATAAATTAGACACTGAGGGAAAAATCTCATTTATCTGAGGTTTATTGAGCCAGAGCTTGAGGGCATGACTGGGAAGAACGTAATAGTCCAGCAGGTCAGGTCGCTTTCCCTGACTCGGTTACAATTTTGCAGTGGTGGTTTTAAAAACCCCAGTTACAGAAACATCTGTGGCTTGAAGCAGAGGTTTCTGGGTGACTCAAGATTTATATTCTTTTTTTTTTTTTTTTTTTTTTTTTTTTTTTTTTTTTTTTTTTGAGGCAGAGGTTCATTCTTGTGGCCCAGGCTGGAGTGCAGTGGTGTGATCTCAGTTCACTTCAACCTCCACTTCCTGGGTTCAAGCGATTCTCAGGCCTCAGCCTCCTGAGTAGCTGAAAGTACAGGCGCCCGCCACCATGCCCAACTAATTTTTATAGCTTTGGTAGAGATGAGGTTTCACCATGTCGGCCAGGCTGGTCTCGAACTCCTGACCTCGATCCACCTGCCTCGGCCTCCTAAAGTGCTGGAATTATAGGCCTGAGCCATTGTGCCTAGCCTATATTCTTCTTTAAAGGACAGAGAGTATGTAGGAAGCGGTGGGTAGCCAGCCAATGAGACAAATGGTTACATTTTTGTGAGATTTTAATTAGTGCCCAGTAAATCTACATTTATATAAGATGAGGTGAACATTGGAAGAAAAGGGGAGTAAGGAAAGCATCAATTATGCAGACATCTCAGGGTAGGTGGAAGAATGATCTCATCTTCTGCACCTGGGAAGATGAGCTTGCCACCAACATTATCAGCGTGAAATCTAACAGATAGATGTTAGTTGTAGAAGCTAGACTTAGATTGAAAACCTAAGTTAAGATAGACATGTCCTTGTTTTGTAGGAGGATGTGGATCTTGAAGGTTTCAAGGCCAGCAAAGAATTTTCCGTGGGGTGAGGGGCTGGCCGATGGATGATGCTTTGACCTAAGGTTGTAAAGCAACAGCTATTCATTGGGGAAAAGGATGGCCAGTGTTACGTGACTGTCTTCAGGTTTAACCTCCTCTTTGGTATAATGAGTTTGGAAGTTCCAAGATGTTTTATTTTTTCTATTATTATTATTATTATTATTTTGAGGCAGAGTTTCGCTCTTGTTACCCAGGCTGGAGTGCAATGGCGCGATCTCGGCTCACCGCAACCTCCGCCTCCTGGGTTCAGGCAATTCTCCTGCCTCAGCCTCCTGAGTAGATTGGATTACAGCCACGCGCCACCATGCCCAGCTAATTTATTGTATTTTTAATAGAGACGGGGTTTCACCATGTTGACCAGGATGGTCTCGATCTCTTGACCTCGTGATCCACCTGCCTCGGCCTCCCAAAGTGCTGGGATTACAGGCGTGAGCCACTGCACCCGGCCCTTTTCCATTATTTTTATTTTATTTTTGAGATGGAGTCTCACTCTGTCACCAGGCTGGACTGCAGTGGCACAATCTCAGCTCACTGCAACCTCCACCTGCCAAGTTCAAGTGATTCTCCTGTCTTAGCCTCCTGAGTAGCTGGGACTACAGGTGGTCACCACCACGCCTAATTTTTGTATTTTTAGTAGAGACGGGTTTTCACCATGTTGGCCAGGATGGTCTTGATCTCTTGACCTCATGATCAGGCTGCCTCGCAAAATACTGAGATTACAGGCATGAGCCACCATGTCCATCCTCATTTTCCCATTATATTTATCTTAATTCCATTTCCCTCGTTAAAACTCCTGTTGTTGTAGGGAACTGAAGTTGACCTCTTGCATTATTTATTAAACTTCTGTGGCCAGGTGTGGTGGCTCACGGCTATAATCCCAGCACTTTGGGAGGCCAAGGCAGGCGGCCTCCGTTACTTAACCTCAAGGCCCATCTTAGTTGCTAAAGGGGTGTTTATTTTAGTGTTTCAGATCACACAGAAAAATTTTAGAAATAAAACAAGGTGTTTCCTTAGACTCGTAATAAAGTGACTCAATGGGTTTCCATTTTCTCCTACGTATAAAATACAATTACAGTTTAGAAAGTGTCAACCTAAAATAACAGAGCAGTTATCCAGAGAAATGAGTTTATCTCCAAAGGAGTGATAGGGATTACAATTTGGGAATTCCTGTACCGTGGTGAACCATGGCCTGGCCGTAGGTGTACCCAGGAAGGCAAGGAAAGGCAAGAGTTTTTTAAAGGCAAAATGAGGAAGGCTATGTAAGTTATTTTGAAATGCTTGTCCTTGGCTACAAGGATCAGTAACAACAGTGGCATCAGTTCAAGGTTGAACAGGCTGGATATTGTCCTTGCAGAAGCAGTCTTTTTTTTTTTGGCCCAGGCTGGCCTTGAATTCCTGGGCTCAAGGGATCAGTGGTCTTGTTGCAAGGCTGTGGTTTTCAGAGTCCTTGGTGCAGTTTTTGCCCTAGCCCCTCCTCTGTCGCCTTTGATCCCATTTAGGTAGGGTGGCCTAACTGACTCCATTTTGGTTCTCACGGCTTTCACTAAAGCCATGCATCTAAAGATGCCAATCCTTGCATCTTTAGGGTGACTCTGTAACTTTATATTGCTTTTTGTTTTTTGGAGACGGAGTTGCGCTTTTGTTGCCCAGACTGGAGTGTAATGGCATGATCTTGGCTTACTGCAACCTCTGCCTCCTGGGTTCAGGCAATCCTCCTGCCTCAGCCTCCCAAGTAGCCGGGATTACAGGCACGCGCCACCATGCCCAGCTAATTTTTTGTATTGTTAGTAGAGATGGGGTTTCTCCATGTTGGTCAGGCTGGTGACCTCAGGTGATCTGCCTGCCTCAGCCTCCCAAAGTGCTGGGATTACAGGCGAGAGCCACCGCGCCGGCTATCCTTATTAAATATAAGGTTATTTATATTTATATTTTAACGGATCTGTACCCCGGTTGGTTTGTATATATGCACATCTTAGTTCCTTGAGAATGTTGGAGATCCAAGTGAGGCATTTGGCCTGTTTTTTTTTTTTTTTTAGTACATGATACACATGTAAATGCGATATTTACAGCTCACATTTCATTGGCTGCATTTGTGTTGTTTCCTAAGGTACCTACAGAGGCTCCTTCTGGCAGGTCCGCAGTCTCCCTCCCTGTGCCATCACAGCTCCCAAGACCTCTCTCTAAGCAACTGAACTCGCCCCAGGCGAGGCCGTTTCCTGCTCTGGGCTCCTCCTCTCCTCCTGTCTGGGCTTAGCCCGCCTGACTCTGGCCCTGTTCCTGAGCTTACTGGGAACAGTTCTGCCAACGGAAGGGCCAGGCTAATGAGTAACTTTGTCACCGTCTCCCGGTCCCCGCAACCCCGTTTTCTGAGCAGTTGTTAATTGAGTAAACTGAAGGATTGTGAGGCTATGACGGCTCTTTTGTTTTGTGAGTCAGAGTTAAGGCTGAAAAACACCTTATGTGGTGCTTAAATCAGAAACAGATGAGTCATGTTTCGTATTAAAGACAGGCACCTGCAGAAAAGAGCTGACCCTCGGGATGTGGCGAGAGTGCTGGGGGAGGAAGTAGGGGTCGAGCGTGGGCGGGGGAGGGGAATGGGTGGGTGGTTGGGGGGGCTGGGTGGGGAGTAGGGGTTGAGCGCGGTGGGGGGGAGTAGGGGTGGAGAGGGGGTGTGGGAAGTAGGGGTCGAGCGCTGGGGGATGGGGAGGAGTGGTCGAGCGCGGGTTTATGGGGGAAGGGTGGGGGTGGGGGTAAGTGTAGAGCGCGCGGGATGTGAGAGCAGGGGGGAAGGTCGAGTGCAGGGGAGGTTGAGGGGGAAGGGTCGAGGGGGTGTGTGGGGGAGGGGGCATAGGAGGAAGAGTTGGGGGAAGCCGGAGCAGCATGCGGGGGAGGGGAGAAGCGCACAAGAGAGGGTCAGGGGCATGTGCATGTCCGATGGAGGATCAGGGGCGTTAGGAGGCAAGGGTGCACCTGATGGAGGATTGGGGATGCTGGAGGATTAGGTGTGCACCCAGTGCAGGGTCAAGGATGCGCCCGATGGAGAGTTAAGGGCGCGCCCGATGGAGGGTCAGGGTGCTGGAGGGTTAGGCGCATGCCGGATAGAGGATCAGGGGTGCTGGAGGATTAGGCCTGTGTCCGGTGGAGGGTCAGGGGCGCGCCCGAATGGAGAATACAGGGTGCTGGAGGGTTAGGCGCACACCCGATAGAGGGTCAGGGACGTGTCTGTTGAAGGATTAGGGGTGCCAGAGGGTTAGGCACGTGCCAGATAGAGGATCAGGGGTGCTGGAGGATTAAGCGGGTGTCCCGTGGAGGGTCAGGGATGAAGGATTCCGGGCGCTGGAGGGTTAGGTACACCTCTGTTGGGGGGTCAGGGTCGTGTGGAATGGAGGATCAGGGGCGCTCAAGGGTTAGGCGCGCGCCGGATGGGAGCTTAAGGGTTGTGTAGAATGGAGGATCAGGGGCGCCCGAGGGTTAGACGTGCGCCCAAATGGAGCGGGGGTCAGGGTCCCGCAGAATGGAAGGTCAGGGGCCCTCGAGGGTTAGGCGCGTGCCCGATGGGAGCTTCAGGGTTGTGGAGAATGGAGGATCAGGGGCGCCCGAAGGTTAGGCGCGCGCCCTATGGGAGCTTCAGGGTCGTGCGGAATGGAGGATCGGGGCGCTCGAGGGTTATGTGCACGCTAGGTGGGATGCGCGAGCGAAGGTTTTCTTCCGGGTGGGGAGTGGGGGATAGCGCGGAAGGGCTCAGTGGGGCGGGGACAGGTGCGGGCGGGAGAGGGCGCACCAGAAGGGGTGCCACTGAGGCTTGGGGGCGAGGGAGGGAAGGAGGGAGAGGGAGAACCGGAGACCCCGCGAGCTTACAGGTTTCTGTCTGCGCGGTCTGTCCAACAAGGCTACTGCCGTTTCCGCCATAGAAAGTGTCACGCACGTGGCCCCATCGCGGCTTTTGTCGTGCAGTAATACGTATAATGAATTTTTCATGGTTCCATGTGGGAGAAAGGCATTTGGGTCTTCCCTCTGAAGAGTGAGGGAAGGAGAAAAAAAAAAAAGCAGAACAGCGAGCCGTTTCTGGTTTGGTTTGTTTTCCCCAGAAATGCGAGCTAACGGCATTCCTTTGATTGCCCTGGAGGCCGTCAGTCAGGGCTGCAGTGAAGCCTGAACTGCTTGAAGGCAGGAAAACAAGGAGCTCAGAGGCACAGGCAGCAGCTGACAGCTCATGCCGAGTTATAATAAATAACACCCTGGTGTCAAATCCCAGGTCCTTGAATTTTACCAGGGAACGACAGGCCATTGTGAGAACGAGCAAGGAAAAGAAGTAGGTTTGTCTTAGGACTTATATTTGTTCTGAAGAGTTTTTTAAATGAGTGATTGGATTTGGTGTTTAAAGAAATGTTTGTCAAAACAAAGGGAGACTGCTTCTAGGCGTCCCAATTTGTGTGTTGAATGAGGCAGAACATGAATGGAGACTTCTAAAAATTACAGTGGAAATTCACAAGTACACATCTGAATGGAGCTGAAGCTGTCCTCTAGCAGCAGGACAGCAGCTCCGAAGACCTTGTTTCCACCTGCGGGGGAGAGGGGTGTCTCCCTCGTTAGGCGATTGAGTGGGATCAGCCAACAGGGAGCATAAACTCCTGCCTTTAAAATCCTGAACATGAAGTGTGTCAGTAGCAAGATGGCGCTTTGTGAAACCCTGTTCTTTAAATTGACTCCCATTCCTCACGTATTTCTAGCCTACCTCTAGTGCAAATGGCTAATGGGGTGAAGTAACATCTTCTAAAAACGACTTGGAGAACCATTTTGTCTCACTCCCACCCGCAGATGGTGTTTTTTGGCTACATGGTCTTCAGTATCCTCTTTGGCCTCCTGGCTGACAGATACGGCCGCTGGAAGGTATGTCAGGCCTCAGGGTCTCATTGGGAATTTTCTTTTGTGTATTCTTTTGGGGGCAGCCTTATCGCTATTTCTCTTCAGTAGGCATTTCCCTCCCATTACACAAGATAGAAGATGTGGCTATTTTCCTCCCTGATGGAACGTCCCAGGCTTATCTTCTGGACATCTCATTTTTCTCAGGGTACCTGTGGGCACAACTTTTTCTCTGCATTCCAGGTGTGCAGTGAAAGGAAATGCAGGTATTACAGAGTTCCGAGAAATCTCTACCAAGAAGCACTAGAGGAATGAAGGCCGCTAAGTGGCTCTATCTGAACTCCTAAATGTTGGGACTTAGAAGTAGTCATGGGCGGCCGGGCGCCGTGGCTCATGCCTGTAATCCCAGCACTTTGGGAGGCCGAGGCGGGTGGATCACGAGGTCAAGAGATCGAGACCATCCTGGTCAACATGGTGAAACCCCGTCTCTACTAAAAATACAAAAAATTAGCTGGGCATGGTGGCGCGTGCCTGTAATCCAAGCTACTCAGGAGGCTGAGGCAGGAGAATTGCCTGAACCCAGGAGGCAGAGGTTGCGGTGAGCCGAGATAGCACCATTGCACTCCAGCCTGGGTAACAAGAGTGAAACTCCATCTCAAAAAAAAAAAAAAGTAGTCGTCATGGGTTGGTTAGATGCCCCCACCATGTCCAGTTTACTGTGGGTTAAGGACAGTGGCTCTCATATCGATGGGGGAACACGTCTGTTCCCTCTATCCACACATTCTTGTCTAATAAGGGGAAAATGGAAAAGGCCCCTTTTGCCCTTCACAGCAGCCCTATTTCTCTTGGGAGGTTTTTTCCTCTGGTTTTCGTTTAACTGACGAGTCCACTGCTGCAGCTACAAGCTCGGAAGAAGGTGTTCTTCTTTCAGGGAGACACCTACATGTCATGAACAAATGTCCAAAAAGTTTCTAGTCCCCCAGAGCACTAGCTGGGTTCAGAGGGAGCCAGTATCCCTTAACTTTGGGGCAAGAGAACTCACCCTTGTGCACCCATCTGTTTGAAACTAGCAGGAATTGGTCACAAATGCAAAGACAAGTCCAAGTTACAATCAGTAGGAAACAGATGCAAGTTTTAAAGCATGCGATGTAACTTCAGAACAAGAGAAAGTAAAACCACTAGTGCTAGATGGCCAAGACCATAAGCCCAACCTGCTGCCACGAGGCAGAGGTGGAGAAAGCAGGAGTCCTCTGCGGGACCATTTGCCTGAATCTCCTGTCCAGGGACAGAAATGGAAGCCCTTGATCTTAAATGAGAGAGTTTAAAAAGAAGCCCCCCAAACCCTAGACCTCAACCTAAAGGAAAGGAGGTCCAGATTCAGATAGACTCACCCTTTTGTGCCCAGTGAAACCTCTGGAGTTAGGGGAACACAGTGGGTTCGTGTAGCAAGTCCATGAGGAGACTCTGGGGGATTGTGGGATAAGGGTCTGATGTTGCTCTGAACCCTGCCAGCTATGCTGGAAACATTGACCTAAAGGAAGAAACAGAGGCAAAATTAATATAAGTAGGGAGTTTATTTGGACCAAGGTTGAGGATCTCAGCCGAGAAGTCATATGGTCCAGTTGCCCTGAATATATGCTCCAATTAGCAGCAGTTACAAGGGAGTTTTTTGAAGGATGGGAGAAAAGAATTTGGGGGCACTTCATAAGTTAACTAATAATTTACACTAGTTCATTAAAATAACGTAATCTATCTTACCCTACCCCTCATTGTTCTTTTTATCACAAAATCTAAACACACAGAGATAATGGATGAGAGTCACGTTGAGCAACTTTTGGTAACATTTTAGGTAATTTATCAGCTAGTCTGGAAACTACAGAGAAGGGAAGAAAAACAAAAAGCCTTTAGACAGTTACCCAGGGCATGGGTGCAGGAATGTGACTGACATCTCACTGCTGCGTGTCTCTGGATCTGATAAATTCTGCATACCTCTCATTCCTCAGGCTGCTCTGAGCCGCTTTTCTTTCTCAAGTTGATGGATGTACAGAATTAAAACATATTAGAATGTGGACATTTGCAGGTATCAACATAGCAGCTACACATTTTGCTCATGTTGGTATAGCCTTGGAACTAGCTCCTTGCTCAGTCTCCTACTAAGATCAAGACATAAATTATGTCTTCTAATGACAAACCCAGCTCTGTCTTTTCTATTTGCTTGATTTCTGGTGAAATTCTCTCTAAGCATAAACACAAATGGAGGGAACTCAAAGGAAAACATGAATAGAATTGGCTGTATGTTTTAATCTATGACGTGAAATAACTATCGTAGATTCCTGTAAATATGAAAACACAAGTATCTCAAAAAGCATAAAAAGTCATTTTATAAAAGAAATACAAATGGTCAAGCAACCTTGAAAAAACATGAAACAGGATTTACCAAAAACAAAATACGCAGCAGGATATAATTTTTCCTTTCAAATCTGTAAGGAAAATGTTCCTTAAAGAATCCTGCACCATGGAAACGGACATTTTCATGCCTTGCAAGTATGTGGACACCCTCATCATACCCTATTGGTGTTATTATATCATCATATATAATAAATGCTATTGATATAATTTTTCTGACCATGAGCTTGGCAGTATGAATCAGGAACCTTGAAAATATTCTGCTAACCTGATCATTTGTCTTCCAGAACTCTAGCTTGCTAAAGATGTCAGGGCATAATGACGTAAGCACAGTTACCATCACAGCTTACTTTAATAATGAGAAGTTCTGAAACAGCTTTAACTTCAACAGTAGAGAAAGGTCTTATGTTTTGCATGTGTGAAAGTACATCTTTCCACTGGAATATGTGCAGCCATTAACACATTGTTTTACAAACAGAAGATAAAATAGTGTTAAGAGTATTTTCTCTGGGTTGGACAATCAATGGTGGTTTCGATTGTTTAATTTTCTTTTTTCGGTTTTTTTTTTTTTTTTTTTGAGACAGAGTTTCGCTCTTGTTACCCAGGCTGGAGTGCAATGGAGCAATCTCCGCTCACTGCAACCTCCGCCTCCTGGGTTCAGGCAATTCTCCTGCCTCAGCTTCCTGAGTAGCTGGGATTACAGGCACGCGCCATCATGCCCAGCTAATTTTTTGTATTTTTAGTAGAGACGGGGTTTCACCATGTTGACCAGGATGGTCTCGATCTCTTGACCTCGTGATCTACCCGCCTCGGCCTCCCAAAGTGCTGGGATTACAGGCGTGAGCCACTGCGCCCGACTTTTCTGTATTGTTAACTATGAACTTACATAATCCTTATAATTAAGGAAAAAGCAAATACCTTACATGTGCTCCTGGTACTCCTCCCAATGTACTGCCTCATTGTGTCCCCAACAGCCCTGTGAGGAGGGAGGACACGTTTTTGCCTTCTGATAACTTTTGCCAAGTTCAGGGACCTGCCACCCATAAAGTTGGGCACAGCAGGGTAGTTTTGGTCTGAACTTGGAAGGTCTGGGCTTTCAGACACTAGAATGGCATGGATTGTATTGGTGGATGATTAAGAGAGACCCGTGGGCTTGCTATAGATGAGCCCCTCAGAGAAGCCACTGTCGGGAGGGAAACAGAAAATCGCCTTCGGAAGTTAGGGCTTCTTCCCTCCCTGCGTGGAGGCGGGTCCCCGTCATCAGTGTTCTGTTGTTGCTTCAGATTCTGCTCGTCTCGTTCCTGTGGGGAGCCTATTTCTCCTTGCTGACCTCGTTTGCTCCTTCGTACATCTGGTTTGTCTTCCTGCGGACGATGGTGGGCTGTGGCGTGTCCGGCCACTCACAAGGGTAAATGTGTTACCCAGAGGACCCTGAGACAGAAACACCTACCCCTGCGGGCCCTTACCCGAACCCTGCACTTAATAGACCAAAAACATTGTGAACCCAGTATACCCGAGACAGGTTTCGGTCCATTTAGAAAGCTTATTTTGCCAACGTTAAGGACGTGCCTGGGACAGCCTCAAGAGGTCCTGACGACGTGTGCCCAAGGTGGTAGGGGTACAGCTTGTTTTTATACGTTTTAGGGGGACGTAATACATCAATTAATATGTGTAAGATTATGGAGTCGAGGGACAGCGGGGGGGGGTGGGGAGGTCAGGGAGGGATAACATGGGGAGAAATGCCAGATGTAGGTGACAGGGATGCAGGCAGCAAACCACATTGCCATGTGTGTGCCTATGCAACAGTCCTGCATGATCTGCACTGTACCCCAGAACCTAAAGTGCAATTAAAAGAAAAAATACGTGTAAGATTTACATTGATTAGGTCAGGTGCGATGGCTCAAGCCTGTAATCCCAGCACTTTGGGAGGCCGAGGCG